CCCATACTGGTCACTGGAAGTTCAACATGGCACCTCATGGCAAAGAACTCTCTGAGGGTCTGAAAAAAAGAATTGTTGCTCTACATAAAGATGACCTAGGCTATAAGAAGATTGCCCAGACCCTGAAACTGAGCTGCAGCACGGTGGCCAAGACCATAAAGCGGTTTAACAGGACAGGTTCCACTCGGAACAGGCCTCACCACGGTCGACCAAAGAAGTTGAGTGGACATGCTCAGCGTCATATCCAGAGGTTTTCTTTGTGAAATAGACGTATGAGTGCTGCCAGCATTGCTGCAGAGGTTAAAGGGGTGGGGGGTCAGCCTGTCAGTGCTCAGACCATGCGCCACACACTGCATCAAATTGGTCTGCATGGCTGTCGTCCCAGAAGGAAGCCTCTTCTAAAGATGATGCACGAGAAAGCCCAAAACAAGACAAGCAGACTAAGGACATGGATTACTGGAACTATGTCCTGTGGTCTGATGAGACGAAGATAAACTTATTTAGTTCAGATGGTGTCAAGCGTGTGTGGCGGCAACCAGGGGAGGAGAACAAAGACAACTGTGTCTTGCCTACAGTCAAGCATGGTGGTGGGCGTGTCATGGTCTGGGGCTGCATGAGTGCTGCCGGCACTGAGGAGCTATAGTTAGTTGAGGGAACCATGAATGCTAACATGTACTGTGACATACTGAAGCAGAGCATGATCCCCTTCCTTCGGAGACTGGGCCGCAGGGCAGTATTCCAACATGATAACGACCCCAAAAACACCTGTACGACCACTGCCTTGCTAAAGAAGCTGAGGGTAAAGGTGATGGACTGGCCAAGCATGTCTCCAGACCTAAACCATCTGTGGGGCATCCTCAAACGGAAGGTGGAGGAGAGCAAGGTTTCTAACATCCACCAGCTTTGTGATGTCGTCATGGAGGCGTGGAATAGGACTCCAGTGGCAACCTGTGAAGCTCTGGTGACGTCCATGCCCAAGAGGGTTAAGGCAGTGCTGGAAAATAATGGTGGCCACACAAAATATTGACACTTTGGGCCCAATTTGGACATTTTCACTTAAGGGTGTACTCACTTTTGTTGCCAGTGGTTTAGACATTAATGGCTGTGTGTTGAGTTATTTTGAGGGGACAGCAAATGTACACTGATATACAAGCTGTACACTGACTACTTTACATTGTAGCAACATGTAATTTCTTCAGTGTCGTCAAACATGAAATTATATAATAAAATATTTACAAAAATGTGAGGGGTGTGCTCACTTCTGTGAGATACTGTACATCTTGCTGACACAGACTAAATATGCTTTAAAGAAAGCAGACTGCATAAAACATTTGAAGGAATATAGCATAACATGAAAGCAGATTTCAGCTCAATCACTAAAATATCATATAAACTGTAACATGTTATAAGCTGATTTCAATCAGTTTCAATCTGTGGCTTTCGTTAATTGTTCTGCTGCGTTGTCACACTTAAAGGCAGTCAAGGTGGAAGATAGACGGACAGGTTGGGGTAAAGAGTTCCAGAGAATGGGAGAGACTCTAGAGAAGTCCTGGAGGCGAGTATGGAAGGAGATGACAAGGGAGCTGGAAAGCAGGAGGTCTTGGGAGGAGCTTGGGGCGGGGACGGTTCGGGTGATATTTTGAGACCAGGTTTGACATATATCCGGGGGGCAGAGTTGTGGATGGCTTTATAAGTGATTGTTAATATTTTGAATTTTATCCTTTTGGACGAGTGTAAGCCAGTGTAGGGATTGGCAGAAGGGGGTTGCAGACACTGAGTGGTTGGTCAGGTGAATGAGTCTAGCAGCTGCAATCATGATAGACTTAAAGTGACATTAAACCCTCAGATTTTTTTAACATAAACCAATACTGTAATGTGTGTAATCCATGATAGTTTCCCTTTGCTGCTCTTCCTTTTAAATCCTCATGTCTTCTCATGCTGGGGGAGAACTACCCTTTCCTGTAGTGCTGGCTCAGGTTGCAAACCTACACACAGACACCATGTATCAATTTCAGAGACAAGGCAGTCTGCTGCAAAACAGAAGTTCTGTCCAGCATGAGAACAGATACAGATTTAAAAGGAAGAGCAGCAAAGAGAAGGGAAACTACCATGGATTACAGTAAGGCACACATTACAGTATTGTTTTATGTTAAAAAATCTGAGGGTTTAATGTCACTTTAAGGGGGGATAGCCTGTCTAGTGGTAGGCCAATGAGGAGGGAGTTTCAATAGTAAAGACGGTAGATAACAAGGGAGTGGATGAGTAATTTAGCGGTTTCATTGGGGATCATAGAAATAATCATAGAAGTAGATTTCACTTGCAGGCATGAGGTTAAAGATTTGGCATGGCCATAGGAAAACGGGGGAGAACATTTATCAGGAATATCAATGTACATTACCATATGAAGCCTTTGGTGGGCTATATTGCACTTAGTAACTCTTTCATCTGCTGAATACAATATATTTAGATTGTGGGAATGCTGCCAATTTTTTAAAATAATTTTTGTATTTCTGCTGCAAGGCAACAGAGGCAATTCTGAGTAAATTGGAAGACAACATAAGGCCAGGCTGAGAATGAAGCAAGCTGTAAATGCTAAAACATTTTATTGCCATGTGTAAATTGGCTGTTATTACATTGAATATAATTAAAATATATCTCATAATATCTTTTAACTCTATGAATAATTAGGCTTTATGTTTTATTATGTGGTACATCATTCCCATTTTCCACCTCACTTCAGCTACTGCTTCACTAATACAATATCTTCTCTGTATAGGTGATTATAGCTACAGATTGCTGGGAAAAAATGATGAGAGATATCTCTCACTGCTAATAAATAAACCTGTTACAGCAATCCATATCAAACCACTGGGACCTGCACACAGTTTATCCTTGATTGAGTTCAGATGCAGCTTGCCATTGTTTCATTTGCAAAATATCACCAGTGGTCGTCAATTCTCCTGATTTAGGGGGCCTCAAGTGTAGCCCCGAACATTGCCAAAGACTGCACCTAATAATTAAATGCAACAATACAAAGAGCTGTCAGATACTACAAACATGCAACAGGAGATAGTCGGAGTTATAACCAGCACTTGGAATGCTCATTGTTATTTATTTGTTAACCTCTATGCAGCCTGATTGTCCCAGGGAAATGCTACCTCACAGTACATGTCTGTGTATCAGGGGACAGTATGATGAATAATTATTTGACTGAATGAGAAGCAATATCATTATCTGGTACTCTTCTCGCCTGAAGAACAACCAGACATTGTAGCTTTCATGTTATTGAGCTATAAATCTGTTTTGTGCATGCCTAGCATGTAATATCTATGTAGTCATACATTTCCCAGCTGAGCTGATGATACCGCTGTAAAGTACTGAGCTGTTAGCATCCATAGTTGTTGGTAGTTGTGAGATTAGCAGTACAATGTTATTAACACTGGTAATACATTGCTTGAAATACGTCAACTGTTATATATTGTAGGCAGCTTATCTTTGTTACTCGTCTGCCTGAAACAGTTATAGAATGTCATGATGCATAGTTTATTCATATGAATCTGGATAAAGTAAGGATATACAGTAAACACCTGGTAAGGTGGGGCTGTCACCTGGAGTTTCAGCAAATGGAAGTGCTATACAGACTTACTCCATATTAAATGAGGGCCGCAGGTCAGATCTTGGTGCAGTTCCAGCCATTGTGATCACAATAACTCTCTATTCTCTAAATGTAAGCTTATTTTAAGGGGATGTATAGTTTGGGGGGTATACAATTTACTGTACTGTTTACTGTGTATGTGAATGCAATCAGCTTAATGTATAGTATTTGATCAACTTCTTTGATGTTTTCAAAACCTTTCTGTGTAATGCTTATAAATGAAATTATATAGTGTGTGTGTGTGTGTGTGTGTGTGTGTTTGTGTGTATATATATTACGCACACACAGTGCAGAAAATTACTTTGCAGCATCTTATGAATGGAGCACACACCAATGATCCAGGTGCAAGCATTATTGGACATATATGCTTGCAATTTTTTTTTATTCATGGGGAAGCATATGCAGTCTACAACCATTTTGGATCCAACTGGACTGCATACGTATTTCTAAGAAATACAAAAATCTTTGGGGGTATACCTCCTAGACTGCTTGCACGTCAATTTGAGGCATTGGTGAGTGCTCCATTAAAGCGGACCTTTACACTCAAAAATCAAATTCTAATGCTGTGATTTTAAAATACTTACACTTGCAGAGCATTCACTTCCTGCTTTGAAAGTGCAAAATGACTTCCGCTTGCCCAAGCATTGCTCAGGGAAAGGCATTTTCCTCCTCTGAGATGATGTGCATGGTCACATGTCTAGTCACACCTACAGTTTTTCCAAAGCTCACCATAGATGTTAGTCTTTGTAACCTTTGCTTTAGATTTCCAGCATTTGTGTAATGTGAGTTTGTACTTATACATTTCATTAAATGCACATCCAATCAGATAAACATTTGAATATTATTGGTAAGTTGGTAATTCTAAAGCAGGCTGTAATATGTATGTGGGTGTATTGTTACCAGCTTATGGGGCTAGTTGAGCTTATGTAAAAGTTGTTAAGCTAACTGCATTCCCTGATGACAATTATAGGGAGCATTTGTAAATTGGTCTGTGAAATACGATGGTCAAAATATGGAAAAGCATGCAGGAATATGTAAACTTTTAACATATCAATAAGTGACTTCTATATGAACACAATGCCACATATAACCATAAACTATGTTTGTCTGTCACAGATTCAGAAGGGATGTATATTATTAATTTTAAGGGACAGACATTGTTATTCAGAGCATTTTTTCAGCGTCTGTGCATACTGCTGTGAACAATATTGTCTGTTGAGCTGGAAAACAAACATTTATTTGAATATGCTTGGAATATGCAAATGTTCATACAAGGCAGTAATATTGTAATACAGAAATGACATTTGCACATGTTTTAGTCCTTGTTGCCTTTCTCAATTCACAGACGGTTTTGATGTCTGAAAGAACCCCAACGCCTGTTGCTGGATCTGCTTCTCTTTCATCTGGGAGCCAGGATTCACAGGGGACGTAAGTTTTACTGCTCTCTTGTCGAATGCAATCCTGAAACTTGTAACTGTCATTTGATTTTCTAGAGCTTGGGGGCTCAGTAGCTTACCAATAATTTACAACATGAACAGAATACGTTATCGGGGCTAACTTAATATATCAGCTAAAAAGTCTATTATGTCAAATGTACATTTTAAAGTAGCACTTAGTTTCCTGTGACATTTTATTTTTCTCCGTTTGTTATACCTTTTCTTTTTTTTTTAGAACATTTTTATTCAAATATTTTTTTTTTTTTAAACATAAAAGTACAAACATAAAAATTAAGTACAATATATCATACAATGATATAAAAACAGTCCTAAAATGCACTATAAATGTATAAAACATCTTTAGAAAAACAATAACTAAAACAAAAACATATTACATACATGGTAAAATAGCATGAAAAAAAAAAAGATTTGCAAGTGCTACAGTATGACTCCACAAGGTAATCTCAGTGAAATTCAGTAGAAAGTCAAAGACTAATAGAGCGCTCTCTCTGCTGTATTACTTTTAAATGCAGCAGGAGGTGTTGTGTCCCCATAGCCACCTACCAAGGACCGCTAAATATTGTGAGCGTACTCACTATGTACTAGTGAATTGGAAGGGAGACAAACATTTCTCTTGTTCAGAAGATGTAAAGGTATATTTTATGAATGGCATCTGTTAACCTCTTGCCGTCCGCCCGTAGTAAAAAAACGGACGGACGGCACTGCAGCATCTGCGGGTTGCCGTCTCCAGACTGCAATTTTTTTCTGCTCGCGCGCGCCCCCTAGCGGGCACGCACGGGCAGAAAAGACCCGCTAAATGCACACACCCGTTACCGGGTGTTTCACATATAGGCGAAGATTATATTTCAATTCCAATTGATCTAAATGAAGCAATTGTAGAAGGTCCTCTTTTAGCCTATCGACAGTTGGCGGGATGGGGAGACTGCCACTCTCTCATAATGCAACGTCTAGCTGCCAAAAGAGAGATGCATATCCATTGCTTGTCAAATTTGCTAAGTTTACCGGATGAGGTTATAGAGGTGTCCCAATAATTGAACAGTAACAATAGGGCATCTAAGGGGATCTTCTGACCCACGACGGATGCCACAAACCCGTGTCCAGTAGCTTTGAATAGGGACAGGACCATAAGCAATGAAATAAAGAAGTTGCCTGTAGTTTAAATTTAGGGCAGTGGTCAAGGAAAGTAGAATCTCTCTCTCTCTCTCTCTCTCTCTCTGCTTTCCTTTTTTATTCACTTGCAATTTGCTTTTGAATTTGCTAGCAAATTTGACCTACTTTAGGTAGAGTCAATTCCCTAGCACAGCGCCCTCCCTCCTGCAATGTCATAGCCCTCTCCTCTTCTGGGAATGCCTAATTACTCTCTATGCTGGCCCTGCTCCTCTGCTCTTCACCTTACATAGCCTTTTATGTAGCAGCCAGTGGAGGAGTGAAGGGGAATCACTTGAGTGACAGATGTGGGTCTGCTGGTCAGACTTCTCGAGGATGGCAGCTCCCAGCTGCAATCTTTACGCTTTTGAATGTCTGCACAAGGGTGGCTTTTGCAGGTAAATTATGTGCATTAAATACATTAAACTCAAACAATCTTATGTGAAGATTGTTGTTGAAATAAATTGTCTGGAGACGAGGGCCCTTTTAGATGGTAAATTGGACCATCACACACTTTTTGGATGCTCTGTAATACTTTATTCAACTTTCTTACAAGCAGCAAAAGAGCAATCTACTTTGTTTGGACATACACTATATTGCCAAAAGTAATGGGACACCCCAACAAATCATTGGATTCAGGTGTTTTGTGCAATTTCCTTGCTACTAAATATTCCGTGATCATCTGTTAGTGGTATTATAATGAAGTGGAAGCAACTGGGAACAACAGCAACTCAGCCACGAAGTGGTAGGCCACTTAAAATGACAGAACGGGGTCAGCGCATGCTTCAGCAGAAGTGCGCAGAAGTCGCCAACTGTCTACAGAGTCAATAGCTACCGACCTCCAAACTTCGTGTGGCCTTCACAGTGCGCAGAAGTTGCCAACTGTCTGCAGAGTCAATAGCTACCGACCTCCAAACTTCGTGTGGCCTTCACAGTGCGCAGAAGTCACCAACTGTCTGCAGAGTCAATAGCTACCGACCTCCAAACTTCGTGTGGCCTTCAGATTGGCACAACAACAGTGCATAGAGAGCTTCATGGAATGGGTTTCAAATTGATACTATCAGGACTTGCCCAAAAATCGTTGATACAGGTCCATAAAGAGATTGTGCAATCATATTTTAATGTGTGTTGAGGCTGGGGAATTTTTGTGTTTTGTAGTGTTGCCAGATGTATCTATCTCTCTGAGATGAGTCATCTGTAGAAAAATTACATATATGTACTGTATGTATGTACTATATATGTATTTATCTGAAAATCTTATATTTTCTAGTTTGCAAATAGCTGACCTTAGATTCTGGCCACTCTCTACCTCCTCACCACCATGTATGTGCTTCATCTCTCATGCAGCTGTAGACCCCCTACTCTTCCTCTAGTTTAATAGTTGACAGAAGAGTTCTTGTATCAACAAATGGTGTTGTACCTTATTTAACCTTCAGTGTTATTGCAGGATTTATCTACTATTTAGGCAAGCTAATCAGCAGCGAGGATAGAGACAAGGTGGGGATGAGGATTTCTCCATGCATGTAAAGGATGTTTTCCATCTGCGTATATTTAAAAGATGAGTCTATTTACTTGCCGCCACATGCAATGTATATTTGCTCAGTATGGTAATCATTGGTTAAATATATGTAATTCCATTTGCATTCCTGATTAGCGCTTTATGTTATACTGAACCAAGGATTGTGCTGGAAGATGAGGTTTTACTGGCACTTTACAATTCAGAGGAGAACAAAACCATTATAAGAATCTTTACTGCTTAATGCCCTGAGAATTGAGTTTAATATAAGAGCCCAAATACTAGAATAGTGAAATAATTGTTTGTTAATTTTAGGCTTGTGCATTGGCTTGGCTGGTTTTAGTGCGGTAGTTTCAGTGGCAAAAATTTCAGGGCAAAAATTTCTTTTACTGCGTGCTAAATAGTCGACGACCGACCCTATACCTTAATGTACCTACTAATGATAGCAAAAGGAATGATTTATAACTGCAATTCGTACAGAACTACGACCACTGGATGGTGCTGAGGAGCATAGGGAATTTCTATGCTCCTCAGTGATATTTAACATGCAAATGGCATTTGCTCAGCTACACGCTGGGTGCAAGAGTTCTTAATCAACCCCATAATCTAACCACTAACTTCAACCTAACCAATAACTTATTGGGTACAAAACTGTCACAGTGAATATACTGTTACATTGCAGATGTAAGTTAGTGAAAGTTAAAACGCCTATTTACAATGCACACAATTGTTGCCGCGCAAACAACTTATACTGAAATCTTAAAGCTAAAATCACATGATCTGATCAATAGTTGCAAAAAGTGTCATGTTGTATGTCCATGCTCTAATCTATCTACTTTCTTAAAGAAAAAATTGTAAAGATTGTAAACAAAAACATGTTATTTAACCCTTAGCTGAACCTCTATGAAATATTGTTTTGTTTCAAGAACGTTTTTTTTTTAATAGAGCAGGTAAGTTGGCAACCGCCTTCAGCTTTATTTATCCCTGTTTATTGAAGAAAGTGAGAAAATCTACCTGTCGTTAGGGGATATACCCACTTTGAACCTAGAAAAGGTGTCCCCATAGGACAATATTCCCTCTGAACCTGTTTCAGTGTCAACTGAAGCCTCACAAAAAGTGAGTGTGTCTGTCCACTGGAATGTATACAGAAATAAAATCTTGAAAAAGGACCTAATTCTTCCATACACTACCCAAAACTAGATGGAAAGGTCTTGGCTGCAGTTCCAGTAATTTGTGTGCTGTTAAATGCACAGGTGATTTTGCCTGTTATTTACTGTGGTTGCTTTTCGGGCAATAGTTGTTTTTTTTCTTCTAAAGTGTAAATATTGCTTGAGGGATCAGGTAGGATTTTTTTTCCCCTGTTGAAGCAAATTGAACCATGCTTTAAAGGGTTGTTTTGCCTTCCTCTGGATCAACAGTGGGTAATTGGTGGCATAGCTTTCCGTTTAGGCTTTTCTTTCTTCTTTTTTTTTCATATCTCTATAGGTTGAACTCGATGGACTAATGTCTGTTTTTAACCTGACTAACTATGTAACTATGTAAGGAATTGTTAAAACACCAGACTGGTTTTATTGAGAGATTACCTATCCTGTACAGGAAGTGAAAGGAAATCTCTCTAAAGCTAGGTTAAATCCCCTCTAAGACAGTTGTCGCAGCAACAAGTATCCACATTGGAAGATTTCAACTTTATTCCTGCTCTGGTGACAACTCGTAGTTTATGATTTTCCTTTATTTTCAGTACCGGAGACAGTGGTCAACAATAGATACAGAGAGAATAAATCTCTCTAGTGGTGACAGAAATAATTTAAAAAAAAGACTCTGACGGGTTCTAACCCCTCACCACTCTGTCCAAAACTAAAACAAAGCTTTTAATTTAGATATCTTTTAATATAATGTTATTTAATGTCATAGTAACTAGTAATAAACTGGCCTGGACATGAAATACCTTTGGAATACATATTATGCCATAGGCTTTGATGTGTCAGAAGCCTGTATCTAATGGCTTAAGCTACTTACTCAGCTGTATTATTACCCTGAGTATGTGAGTTTGTGTAGAATGGATCAGTGAGATGTTAATTTCTTACTGTGGGCTTCTGCATTTAAAATAAAGCTCTGTATCATTCTTCATTCGCTATCAGTTAGGAAAGGATATATGGAAGTCTGATCTGACTTTCATAATTGAGGGAGCGTAGGCTGGAAGCAAGAATAGTGATACATTTTTTATTTGTTCTAGTTTGAATAGTCCGTTTTTGGAATCTGACCTAAAGCTATTATTTAGGCTTTTATTTCAGCTGAGGAAACTACAGTTG